AATAGTAATATGCAACTAGTAACTTATTACAACACAACAGACTTGTGTTTCAGATACTGTCTTACAAGCCAAGAGACAGAGACCCATGACCACACAGGCAATGTGGGTCAGTTAGGTTGCAAACACAATGTATTTCCCCTGCAGTTCCACTGAAAGACACTTCCTCCTTGGTGGTAAGTCTTTCTGACGACAGCATCTAATCTGAACGGGATTGGTTAGGAGCTGTGATGTCACAGCAGGGAGATTTCCAAAGCAGGTGAGTAAGGCAAGAGGTCAATGTGCAAAAAAACTGCCTTCCTCCTTCGTGTCTGCTCCCACGTCAGGCCAGGAAGGACTTTAAGGCAAACAATCCTGGCTGTTAGTGAGTGTGTGAGTGTGTGTGTGTTCCCAAGATGAACGGGACATTGTTCAGCTAGTTTCACTCTAACAGCCAGACAACTGAAGCGAATGTTAATGTAACTATTTTGACATTCGATATTTTCCACAAATAGTTATGTTTCTATGTATCAAACAACAAGAAATCTAAGATGTTGCAGATAGTCTCAATTAAACTATGTGGCCATATGCATAAAAACACATCATTCATGTAACACTATGCAATAAAAGCACTTTACTAGATAAAATGAAAAAAATATCTGAAAAAGATAAATAATATAACCTGGGTCAGGACCACATAGCTCCTTAAATTTAAGATTTAAGGTTTGTTAAGTAATTGTGGCTCTAATTTGGGTAATTTTTTTTATGTGGGGTGGGAGTTTAAATAAGAAAAATATAGTCCTGTGTTTAGTGGATGCTACCAGGTGTGTGTCTGAATGGCGTGTCAGACCATGTTACTCACCTGTGAGTAAGGCAGGGCTCATGCCACCATGTCTCGACCTGATGTGCTCAAACACACTCACAGGAATACACTAAAAGCAGATATGAGAGTTACATTTCCTGGAAAATGACATAAAGCATAACCAATGTGGCTTTTTAAAATCCAACCAGGAAGATCATTTCATGTTACAAGTACATTTTTTTCTCAGTAAAATCCTTGGGAAATTCTGATTAATGTATTAAAGATGTTTACCCTAATTGTTTCACCATGGATACTGTAAGATTTCATAACAAGACTATTTATATCAAAAGAAAAAATGCTAAGGGTAATTAACTGATCAAAGGCAGCACTATTTCACTAAATGTCAGCAAACATTTTGTAAATTACACTTGTATTACATCTTTCAGTTTTAAGGTTTAAACTGTTTCCCATCTGAGGAGGACTGCCAACAATTTCAGTATTTCTCCATTCTGGATATTTCCTTCACGCCAGCAACACTCTTGAAGAGATTAATACATGAAATAAGCACTTCTATCATTTAGCAATACTAATGATATTCAGTAGGAGTAGAAACTAAATTCCTACATCCCTGCATGGTGGTGGGGGGTAGAGAACCTCTCGCTCCCAGGCTTTTGATAAACAACAGAAATCAGGTGTGGCACTTGAGATTTTTCCCCAGACTGGACAACACCCTCTCAGAGCAATTCAAAACAACCACATTAAAACTCACCTAGAGGGAATTCAATACTTACCTTAAGAAGCATCTGTAAGTAGCTGTATGTTGATTCGTTCATGCCTTATTCAACATGTTGAATTTTAGTTTTTAGATCCATACCTTTTTCTTTAACAATTTCTACTACTTGCTGGATCATATTACTTGTTATTTGTTATATTTGTGTTTCCCCTGAAATGTGTTTTTATAAAGCACACATAAACAATGCATTACAAGGACACTGTTATTAACTCATTAGACATAGTACTTGCCTGTAGTCTGTGCATAAAGACATTTACCCGCTGAAAGGTTCATTTAGACATACACCACATTATGCATGCCCTAAATATTGGTCATAGGCAAGTAGATTTCCATCTAAATGCCTGTTAAATTTATTAGTACTTTCAAATGGAAGATTTTTATATCAGTTATCGCCAGTGGTAGAAGAAGTTCTCAGATCCTTTGCTTAAGTAAAAATATCAATACAACAATATAAAAATACTCTATTACAAGGAAAGTCCTATGTTAAAAATTAAAAAGTGAAAGTACAGATGAATTAGCAGTAAAATAATCTTCTTAAAATTAAAATGAATTGATATGAAAAAAAAATGCCCTGTGACAGTTATACCATTATATTATATATTGTGGGATCATTAATACAAGTGCAGTTAATGTGTAAGCAGCATTTTACAGTTTTTTCCTGGAAAGATGTCTTTAATTTTTTCCGCTACAGTAATAATGGGGGAAATGTGAATTTACGTGACAAGAAAGGTTTATTTTAACCCAAGTAACTTACAATTCATTATTCATTTATTACATGAAACTTTATTTTCCAAATTGACTTGACTGCATTTTTTCATTTTCAGCTGACCTGCTGTGCCCACTCACTCTAGAGTATGATAGCAATGGAAGTGTAATAATTGAAAAGTCTTTCATTTCCCATAATTACAACCAAATTTAATGCTATGAATCTGGAAAAGGACCTGTAGAATGTAGTGTTATCCTGTATATAGGGGCCTACTGTTGGGCTGTGAAATCTACAAAAATTGTATTATATTTTATCAGCTAATTATATGTTTTGGATGAGATTCAGTTTCAGAGTTACTAATAACTTTGGGGTAAATGTAACGTTGGTGACATATAATAACTTGGGTAGATAAAATCTAAAATTGGGTGTGTGGAGTTACAAAAAGGTAAAGTACAAGTACCTTACAACTTGAGTAAATGCCCTCATACATACATTCCACCACTTATTATTATTATTATTGAGCTCCAGCTATTTGTGGGGAATACTGTAAGAATAGCCCAACGTTACGTTTTGATGCTGCTGACAATGTTTGCCAGTCGGTCCTGCTAAGTGGCTAATGCCTGGCAAATAACAGGACATGAAAATGAACACAAGTGCAAAAAGTTACGTGTAAAGTTGTTAGAGTGGTATAATATCCCACTACTCTTACTTTACATTCAGTGTTTGTCTGAAATCCCTACGTGACAGGTGTCAGCTCTGTCCTCCCTCCCCGGTGCAATGCCCTGACATGTTGCGTGAGCCTCCGCCGCCCTGAATCAGGAACCTTCTGGAGTGAGCCGGTAAGCCCCGCCCGCTCACGAGCGAGCTCTGCTGATGCAACCAACGGCTCGCCGGGTATAAAAGTCTCGCGCTCCTCGCATAGAGTTGCTCAGCTCACTTAACCTACTACATGGAGAAGATACAGACCAAACGTTTGGAGGGGATACCGGAGCTTCACACACAGGAATCAGGATGGTCTATACCACGGCTCTGCTCTTTGGACACGGAGTGCCCGTCCCTTCGGAGGAAGAAAGTGTCGTAGAGATGATCGGAAAGTACTTTTCCCAGCTCACGGCCCCGGGCCAAAATACGAGTGCAGCCCGGCGGGGCAGCGTTGAGAGCTGCGACGAGAGAGAGAACAACTCTCTTTGTAAGTTGTTTTAAAAAGTTAAATATAGTTTTGCTAGTGATGGACAAAAAGAAAAGGCAAAAAGTAGTTGATTTAAACTCCTCTCTAATTGGCAGAACCATATATTGATATTAATGCATAACCATAGTCGTTACATGGGAACTTCAACTATATAATTTAGTGGAAGCGCAAATTAATTAGCTGAATTCCTTGATGGGGTTGTGTCTGATGTAACCGATCTAGGTCTTGGATCAGCTGATGACACTTCTCCTCTCAGCTGCTGATACAAAGCCTTTGTTTAGTGCAGCATTGCAAGACATTTATCACATGAGGCAAGTAAAATGACAGAGCAAGGGTCAAAGGATTGCTTTAGTGATGACAAACTGGAAATGCATTTCAGCGACAGTGGATGTGAAAAGGCAAATTAAACAACCGCATCCATTCATTAAAAATGCATTTACTGCCATTAAAACTAAAATTATGCCAACACTCTTGTTCTCTTTCTACAGTTTCCGACTTGGACGCTGGCTTTGAGCAGGAGCGGCTCCTTCAGCAGAATGTGACCCGGCAGATGGAGCGCCTTCTGACAAGGGCCAAACCTTCCACCCTCCACTGCCAGGTGCTGCTGCTGCCTCGCCAGATGACCACCAGGGTGGGCCAGGACGTGGTGCGCTCCTCTGCGGATGAGCCCTGCGGGCTCCGGGGCGCCTCCATCAAAGTCTATGTGGAGGGCAAAGATGGCCTGACGTTTGTTGGGAGCATCTTCCCAGACCCAAGTGTCACCTCGACGTTTGAACTATCTGTGATCTTCAAGGCAGATAAGGATGACGGCTGGCCGCCACTCATGCACATTTTTGACACCAACAAAGTGTTGAAGCTGAGACCACAGTACCGGCTGGTGAAGAGGAAGCTCTACTCCTCCGCCAGCCCTGTCATCCATGATTTCAACTAGGGGCAATGCTAAGAATGTAAACCCGTTTCACTACATTTTGTGTGACTGTGATTCCTAACTTTACAAGCACAGGTTTGGCCTGGACAGCACAGGGAAATACTGGAGTTTCCCCGTTTATATTATATTGTCTGACTTGGAGCAGGAGGTCAAACTGCTTGTTTCCTACACTCTGTAGCCAACATGTCCACAGCATTTTGCACAATGGTTGAACGTTAAAAGTGTACACTGTAAACATAAACTTCCTTCCAGGACTGGGCAGGTCTCACTCCTGATGTGTGATGTACTTTTGTTATTTATGCAATTGTAAAGTAAACATTGTTTTTTTTTTACCCAACAAAGTGTCCTGTGCTTGAATTTCAGTGTACTATATACTTCTGTATACTGTAAAACATTTCCCACCACAAAGCTACAGACATCTGTAGCTCACATTTATGGGGCTCTATGCTTAATGACAACTGATATTTAAGTTGTTCGCGTGTTGCTTACACAACTGGGGACAGCAGATTTACAAGAAATCGAACGCTGGGAGAAAAATCCCTCTACCAAAGGACCATGTCGAGACAGAGACTTCAATTTCCACAAAAAGTGAGACACCTGGCATGATTTAGGTTTAGATCAAATCTTTTTATTTAACAAAATGTACAACGGAACACACTTATCAGCTACGCAAACAAAACACTACATGATCCATCTCGCAGGTAAGAAACTTGTTTTTGTACTCCCATCTAACACTACACAAACACGTTTCTTATGCTATTTAAATAGCACACAGTCTACATCCTAAGTGACGAGCAGAGATGCATGAATACTACTTCAGCAAAAACAAACTCCACATACTATGTTTGAGCCAATTAACAAAACCACCTATATTTGACATTTCTGCGAACCACTTTACAAAGAGTTTAGTTTTTAGATTTCCTGATTCTCTACCTTCAAAAGGCAGCTATTGGTTTTCATTCATTTCACTACAACATATAAAAGAGCTGTGAAATTTGAGGTTATGGGAAGTTATAAAGTGAACAATTTGACTTCCTGATTTTAGATCATCATTACATGGTAGCACACCTCCAAGCAGGAGCTGATGTAAAAGCTCCTTAACAGCAACCTTATAAATGCCAAAAATTAACAACCCAATATGCATTTCACCCCTTCTATGATAGCTAGCTTGTATTCTGGACTTGGACATTAATTTTCAGATGCCTGAGTGTACTTGAATGCAACACCTAAAGGCTTCCTGCTCTCACACTGAAACAGACAACACACTCTGATGGATTATACCTCTGCTAGCTATAATATTGAATTCTCAAGCTGAATATTATAGTCTGAGGGCTGCTTGAAGGGAAGGTAGTCAATCTATAAACTTGTGCCAAGGAAAATGGTCAGCAGAAACATAAATGCAATTTGCAGTTAATGGGCTAAATTATGACAACACAGACGGGCGTTCTCACCCATTACTAAGGAAAGCAGACAAATCCCTCCAGTTTGGTGACATCAACAGCTTTTCTTATTGAAGATCATTCATTCTTACATTTATCAACACAAGTTTAGATTTATAATAGCTGTAATGTGGATCTCACAATCATATTTTCGCAGTGATCAAACTGACATAGATTCAGCATTCTTGGTTTCATTTGGTGTTAGTCCAACAAGAAGTACCAGTATTAATGCCTCCGTGATTCAGCATGACTAAATCTGACAAGCAGAACTTATTCTGTCCCATTATTTGATCCCAAACAAACTTTTGCTGGTGATGATGTTTTATTTCTCTTCGCTGTTCCTCCTCAGCAGAGGGAAATGATGGACTACTACCGTCGCTGGTGAAATGATACTTGGAGAAAGTGGTGCGCTGCACATTAACCAATCATATGAACAGGAAAAGAAGAATCTTGATGCAGCTCTCTCTCTCACAGAAACCGACAGATATACCTGTCCACATACATGGTCGTCTAAGCATGGATGAATAAGTGTATGTGTACACTTATATACACACACACACACACACACACACAGAGCGCAATCCTCTTCAAACAACCAAGGTTATGAGTAGGTAATCAGCTCCACCTTTCCAATTCCCAGAGTTCTCTCAAAATGTCAGTCTACTTCTTCATTTTTAGGTCGGCCTCCATGGCACTACGGCGACCCCTGGTGCCTCCATCCTGCAGCATAGAGACAGATGGAAGAGAAACAGGGAAAAAAGAAAGAGCAGTAGAAAAAAAATTAACAGATTAATTTAAAGGTCAGTTGGACAGAGTGGCGGGAGGCCCTGTGGAGGGGCCTCCTCACGCGATTGAGCTCTGCACAAAACAAAACAAAGAAAACAAACACAGCACAATCCACCTCGGAAGGCTTCCTCCCCAAAGGAAGAACAGAAAAATACAATGATGATCAAAAAAAGTAAGATTTGAAAAGAAAAGAAGGAGAAAAGAAATTATAACATGCAGAGACATGTACAATCGCACGTAAACAGAAAAACACAGGAAACCGGCATGGAGTCAATAACCGAAGGTCGACGGAAGCTTGGGTGATGAAAGGTTACTGGAGCCTGTCTGTGTGTGTGCAGAAGCCTATGAGGGTGACACGGACAGTGTGAGTGAGTGTGAGAAACTGTCAGAGGAGGAGTGAGAGACAAAGAGGCCCTTTAATTGTAGTATATAAAAGGTATGGCTGGGTGCTCATGGTCTGGTTTTTACTAGTGAGTTTTTGATCCTAAGGTTTAGTACCTTAAAGAGCAACTTGCAGGTTGAATTTTGTCTAAATCTATACTGAACCTTTCCTGAAAATGACCATTTGAAAAGTGCAGAATTGTATTTGCTTTAAAAGAGAGAAGGGCAAAGAAAAAAAAAAAAAACGAAAAAAAGAAGTAAAAAGTAGCCATTTTAAGCAACAGTCTTCAAAATGCTCTTTTTATCAACATTGCATCATATTAGGTCTCAGCTCAAGACTATATGAGGCTGATAGCTGGTGCCGCTTCTTCAGTACACACAGCAGCTTCAAAGCATGTAGAGGTCTGCAATTTTTTTCATAAGTACACTTCAACTGTGAGAGACGTAATCTAAAACAAAAATCCAGAAAATCACATTGTATGATATGATATAACAGAAAAGCAGAACTTAATATTTGGTATAACAGAACTTAATATTTGGAAACCTTTCTTTGCAATTACAGAGATCATACGTTTCCTGTAGTTCTTGACCAGGTTTGCACACACTGCAGCAGGGATTTTGGCCCACTCCTCCATACAGACCTTCTCCAGATCCTTCAGGTTTCGGGGCTGTCGCTGGGCAATACAGACTTTCAGCTCCCTCCAAAGATTTTCTATTGGGTTCAGGTCTGGAGACTGGTAAGGCCACTCCAGGACCTTGAGAAGCTTCTTACGGACCCGCTTCCTTAGTTGCCCTGGCTGTGTGTTTCAGGTCGTTGTCATGCTGGAAGACCCAGCCACAACCCATCTTCAGTGCTCTTTCTGAGGGAAGGAGGTTGTTGGCCAAGATCTCGCGATACATGGCCCCATCCATCCTCCCTCAATACGGTGCAGTCGTCCTGTCCCCTTTGTAGAAAAGCACCCCCAAAGAATGATGTTTCCACCTCCATACTTCACAGTTGGGATGGTGTTCTTGGGGTTGTACTCATCCTTCTTCTTCCTCCAAACATGGCGAGTGGTGTTTAGACCATAAAGCTCTATTTTTGTCTCATCATGTCCTTCTCCCATTCCTCCTCTGGATCATCCAGATGGTCATAGGCAAACTTCAGACAGGCCTGGACATGCGCTGGCTTGAGCAGGGGGACCTTGCGTGCGCTGCAGGATTTTAATCCATGACAGCGTAGTGTGTTACTAATGGTTTTCTTTGAGACTGTGTTCCCAGCTCCCTTCAGGTCATTGACCAGGTTCTGCCGTGTAGTTCTGGGCTGATTCCTCACCTTCCTCATGATCATTGATGCCCCACGAGGTGAGATCTTGCATGCAGCCCCAGACCATCTTGAACTTCTTCCATTTTCTAATAATTGCGCCAACAGTTGTTGCCTTCTCACCAAGCTGCTTGCCTATTGTCCTGTAGCCCATCCCAGCCTTGTGCAGGTCTACAATTTTATCCCTGATGTCTTTACACACCTCTCTGGTCTTGGCCACTGTGGAGAGGTTGGAGTCTGTTTGATTGAATGTGTGGACAGGGGTCTTTTATACAGGTAACAAGTTCAAACAGGTGCAATTAATACAGGTGATGAGAGGAGAACAGGAGGGCTTCTTAAAGAAGAACTAACAGGTCTGTGAGTTCTTACTGTTTAAGTGTGAGTAAAAAATCTTACTGGTTGGTAGGTGATCAAATACTTATGTCATGCAATAACATGCAAATTAATTATTTTAAAAATCATACAATGTGATTTTCTGGATTTTTGTTTTAGATTCCGTCTCTCACAGTTGAAGTGTACCTATGATAAAAATTACAGACCTCTACATGCTTTGTAAGTAGGAAAACCTGCAAAATCAGCAGTGTATCAAATACTTGTTCTCCCCACTGTATGTGGCAAACTTTCCAATATTGTGATGCGAACAGAGCGTTAGCTATCATTAGCCGGTGACTCCGGGACGCCTGCCCAGTTCTCCACTGGTTCTTATACCTGAACTTAATTTCTCAATTATTTTCTCAACAGTCCCATATTTATATGGCTGTGGTCCATTATACGTGTATGAATACACATTTATAACCTCTTCAGTGTCAAATCCAGCAATGGAATCCATACTTCAACTAGAACTACCCTCTTCCTTTTGTTACGCCACATCCAATTCGTCTTTTTCGATGCAGACGTAAACTCTTCCAGAAACAACTTCAAGTTACTGTGTGTGGTGCTACACACTGATTCACTGGAGTCTTCAACCTTCAAGTTGCTCTTTTTTAAAGCATTTCATCTAGCCACACAATGACTCGCTAGATCACTACTCTCCACCGACAGGAAAAACAAAGAAACATTAGAGAAACAGTCCAAAGTATTGTCTCAAGTCAAAGAAGTTATCATGGTTGCCTGAAAAAAAATCACAAGAGACAACAAACAAACAAAAACTATTTTCTTAAAAGGCCATGAAAATCTATTTTCTCAGCTGCTCACAAGACTGATGGGGTCCTACAAAGTTATAACATTTATAGTGATTTCACATGAAAGATTTCTGTATTTTTGTGTATTTCTGTCTGAGCTACTGTGACTTTATTGGACAAAAGGTGCAACTGTCAATCAAATCTGATCAAACCAGATTTTTATTTCCAACTTTAAAACTGAAAGATTGTTGAATAGTTACAGCGTATTTGCAGTTACGATATTATTGATTAACACCAATAATAGTAGCAAGTTTTTAAATGGCTCTAATGACTTAAATCCTAAATATTAATACTAAATACTTTTATTTTCAGAACTGTTTTGCTTCCTTTTAATGCAACTAAAACAATAACTGAAGTGAGAGAAAAAATAAAAGATGAGAGGTATAGACAGATGTGTGCCGAGTGTGTCACATTGTGTATGTGCGTGTTTGCGTTGAGACAAGCGTGTGCGGAGCGTGGCCTGGTTCTGGTGAAATCTGAGGGAGAACCTGAATACTTACAAAGAGAGAGAGAAGGAAAGCAGGAGAGGCCATTGGGACACTGTCCTGTAGGAGGACAAACATTTGAGTGAGAAAGAGAGAGAAAACACACATGTGCGTGAGAAAGCAAGTTTCATACAAGTCTGCGCCAAACACAGAAGAGCGCCGAGGAACGAGCGTCCATTCCACCGCTGCACGGCACATACACAGACACATAAGTAGTCACACAACGTCACGAAGACCCCCCCCCCGGAGACAATCAAACACGTTTACAAGGCAAGCACACTCCCAAACACGCAAACATAATCTTATGACTCACATATACCAGAGTTCCAATTATGGCCCTTATGAAACATATGGCATTTATTCAGTCGTACCACTTCCCATGAACTACAGATGAAATTCTCTTAATATTCTTCAGCTAAGTAAGGTTCTAAAAAGGGTGTGACAGTCTCATTTCAACTCCAGCTGAGCTTGCTGTAGATTAGAGAAACAACAAAGACTAAAACATTGAATACATTTGTGGATTTTGTCAAATGTGTTCTGTAAAATAACACCATTTACAAAATTCACCAAGACTTTCCAAGAAAACATAGCAAATTCCAAAATATTCTGTCTGAAACTGACATTTCAAAAATGCCATGACCAACAGGAACCCTGTAACACACACTCAAGACTCCAACATCCATACAGTTAAGACAAAGCAATACACAACACAACAGCAAATATTAAAATGCACTGCAGACAATAGCAGACCAACGGCAGACAAACAGCTGAGTCAGCGACAGGCAGATGCAGACAGAGAGAAGTTAGTGAGGAGCGATGCAGCAAACATGCAGGACATGAATAAGCCGGGAAGTCAACACCAGGAATTATTCCACTGAAGCACATTGTGGCAAGCGGAGAGGAGGGTGGACCTGGTGACAGACAACTGAGCCGAGTTGACCAGATGTCTCCAAGTATTCCATGGATTCAACAATGTGTGCATGTCTTGTATGATGACTTGTATGATGCTGATGTGAATGCAAATATATTACCTACAATCAGTGCCAAGTGTCTAGCTTTTGAAATATCGGCACACTTGTCAGCTCATAGACACCAAAATCATTCATTGTGTCCTCAGAGCATCGCTGGATCTGGTGCTTCACACTTTAGCACTTTACGCTGAGTGACAGTACATGAAGAAATTAGTGTAGAATGATTCAGCTACAGTAAGCCTCCGGCAAACTAAGTGTTTAGTTCAAAAAGGTGGATAAAAGCTCTTTAAATTGATAGATTTAAAAGTAGCATGGATTTAAACAGATGTCATATACTAAAGGTATGTTGTTCAGGGTAACATCACAACAAGTAAAATGTCAAAAGTTGATTGATTTCTTTGAGGGTAAATTCTTTACAAAACAGAAGGTGAAATTGTCACTCCTATAAGCTGAGACAGTTCAATTTAGATTTCTTCACATCAGCAAACTGTCCCATATCGATGGAAGAAAACAACACATATTTCACGTGTGGTGATCAATACCGTCATAGGATCATGTAAATAATTTAAGTGTTACTGCAAGAAATAGCATTTAAACATGGCAAAGTCAATCCAAAGGCCCTGAACTTGTAAATGCTGGTGCTCTTAATCCATTAAACTAGTTCAAAGTCTAAGGACCTAAATATCTGCCATCATGGAAGGACGTGTTTCTATACTGACTGTGTAACATATCCATTCATGACTTTTCACAAAATGTGTTCATATTCACAAACCATAACTAACCTGTCCAAGAACTTAGCAAGTAAAATAACATTCTGCTAAGTAACATGGTTTTCATTTTCAACCTTAAAATTCATGTATTTGAACACAGATTTTATATATGATGTCTGCGAGCAGTAGTAACACAACAGAGAATCATCATATGGTCATGGCCAAAAGTAATGGCACCCCTGCATATCTGTCACATAAAGCACTACTTCTCCCACAAAACTGTTGCAATTAGAAATGCTTTGGTATTCTCATGTTTCTCAGAGAGAAAAATGGACTGGATCAAAATTATTGGCAACATAAACTTAATATTTGGTAGCACACCATTTGGAAAAAATAACTGAAACCATTCGCCTCCTGTAGCCATCAATGAGTTTCTTACATCTCTGTATTTTGGGCCACTCTTCTTTTGCCAACTGCTCCAGGTCTTTGAGATATGATGGGATTTGAGACGTCTCCACAGGTGCTGTATGTATGATTGAGATCTTGACTCAGTGCTGGCCACTGCTTTGTCTTAAACCATTTTTGGGTGATTTTAGAAGGATGCTATGCATCATCATCCTGCTGTAAGACCCATGACCTCTGACGGAGGCCCAGCTTTCTGACCCTGGTCTCGTTATTTCGCCACGGAATTCTTTGGTAGTCTTCAGATTTCATATTGCCATACACACAGTCAAGACATCCAGCGCCTGAAGCAGCAAAGCAACCCAAAACATCAGTGAACCTCCATCATCTGGCTTCTTTTTTTTTTTTTTCTTGTGTGAGCAGTGGGATCCTCCTGGGTCTCCTACCATCGTGTCCCTTTTTATTCAGATGGCAACGTATAGTGCGAGCTGACACTGTTGTACCCGGTGTTTGCAGGACAACCTGAATTTGTTTGGAAGTTGATGGAGGTTCTATATCCAGTGTTCAAACAATCCTTTGTTGCAATCTTTCATAAATTCTTCTCTTCCGTCCACGTCAAGGGTGATCAGCTCCAGTGCCACAGGCCGTAAACTTCTTCACAATATTGCATACAGTGGACACAGGAACATTAAACACATTAAGCATGGACAAGTAGATCGTGTTATATATTAGATAAGTTATATTTGTGAATCATGAGGAGTTTTTGTGTGCGGATTTTGAATCCATTTGTTTGTGTTTACAAGTTGCAATATCCATTTGTGACTCGTCATCTGTTCATTTTCAATAATTAATAGGCATTGTTTTACCCCCATACATTTTCTCTTCTTTTTTTTGTCCATGCTGAGTGTGGTACACACAGGCACCACAACACAAACCTTTCTCCATATTAACTGGCTGTAGGTGTGACTTCCACATTGCCAGCACCTGGTTAATTGCTACAGATGAATAGAATTACAAATTGAAGTAGTGTCACATGCTTAAAATACAATTATTTCTGAAGATTTTAAAATGGTGCCAATAATTTTGTCCAGTGCATTTTTGGAGTTCTTTGTTTACTTGTTTGACAGACTCTAAATTCACCCCCATCAAGTCACCCAAACCCACCTTCTCAGCCGGTTCTCCTGGCTTACGGTTTCCCTCCCTGCCGCGGAGGCTCTTGGCGGAGATGGCGCTCTCCGAGGTCTGCATGATGAGCTGGGTGGCCAGGAACTGCTGAACGTGCTCCAGGACGTCACGCTGCATCTCTAGAGCCATATGGTATACGTCGTGATCCGACGAGTTGTACATGACAGCATTCTGAAACATTAGCATGATGTCGCGCTGGAACTCAGCTGTTGTACGGATCACACCGGACTCAATGTTCTTCTTAATGGCAGATAGGTCCATGGGTCTACAGCAGGGGGAGGGAGATGTATTTATTAAACTTTGTGTTCACCACAAACAATCAACATTATATTGCTCATTTAATGTGTGTGAGTTGACTAAAAACGTGTCTGCCCGTGTGTGTTCTTACCTGTGTACGATGCTGTGGTAACCAGGCGCGATGTCGTCTGACACAGGCTGCAGGAAGACACTGGCATACCTGAAAGAAACATGAATTCACTGACTGTAAAACCTGCTGAAAAATGTTTTTATTGCATACTGAGATTTGTTGAGAAGAAAAAGTGAAAACTACCATTTAATTTTGCAACGGTGGGTTAAGAATTGTTCTAACAAAAGCTAATTTGCTCCAAATCGTAGTATTTCAGTTTAGCTAAAAAGCACAAAAAAGCAACAAAAACGCTGAATAAACAAGTAGATTTGGGCCTAATTAAAGGGCTCATTCTTGAGCTGCTATGGGATGTTAGCAAGGGTTTAGTAAGCATAATGCCTTGACTGTTTTTAGGCAAACATATATTCATGCATTCATTACAACCAAAACAAAATTAGTATTTTGGCCAAAAAGCCTTTGATTCGTTGCTCCACCTGTGGTTGGCTGCGGCTCTCCAAACCAGCATAATGGCTTTCTTCCAGATCTTCTGGGCCTGTACCGCCTCCTGGTCCTCACCACATGTAGAGCTGATACAGTGATGAGAGGGAAAAGAAGAGAGCAGAACAGGAGTAGAGAGGAAGTAAGCAGAATGGGAAAGAAGAGAAGATTGTGAAGTTCACAGTGAAAGAGGAAGCAAAAGAAGAATCACAAGTAGAGACAAAAGCACATATTTTATGTCAGCTGGTGAAGGCTGCTTAGCTCAGAGAAATTGATCTGATTCAGAGGTCATGACATAAATATTCAAATGCCAGCTAAGCTTTATCAAGTTTTAAATCAGCTTTTCTACTAAAATGTTTGTTCTGGTAAGAGCAGGGGTTATCTTAGGACATGGATTCACACAAGCCACTTCAACACTACATAGTAGCCAACAGATAAAAACGGTTATTATGATGGGTAATAGTATATAATAGTAATAATCTTTTTTTACGGAGCACTTTTCAAAATCCATGTTACAAAGCGCTTTCACAAGGGCAGAAAATAAATACACAGAAGTTGTAAAACCATGAGCTTTTATGATAAAACACACAGTCCTGTGGACACCTACAGCTGGGACGAAGAGGCCGGGCTGCTGGCCAGTGAATCGGCTGTGTAGCGTTGGGAGGGCGGGCCGTAACCGTCTTCACTCTCACTGGCTGCCCGCTCCACCTCCGACAGATAAGGACCCTCCCCCTCCCCACACTCCTCCTTCAGCTCCATCCCTTCGTCTGGGTCGCCCTCGCTCCCCGCCTCCTCCTCCTTCACCTCCTGGATTCAAGAAAACACACACAGGGTAAAATGACTGTTTTACAAAGGTCGTGCATGTGTGTAAGTGTGCACAAGTGTTTTACCTTGGACTCTTTCCCGGACACAGAGCTGTCCTCAGAGTCTGTGGGACAAAAATGAGAAGAGGATAAGAAAAACAGAAATATATAAGCATGATTTCTGTGTGTGTCTACATAAGTACACCACCCACCTAGGCAAGGTGGGTTGGGCTCCGGCTGGCTCCATTCCTCTCCTTCACTCTTGACTGTTGTTTCAGTGGCCTCCTTGCCTGCTGTCCCTTCCTCTGTAACCTCACTACCTGTTGCACCGTCGTCAGAGGTGACATCGCTTCCTGTCACCTCAGGTCCTTCACAGTTTCCCTTCAGCTGTTCTTCTGTTTTAGTTTCTGGTTGATTCTGGGTCTCTGTGCCCGCAGGGATCAGGGCTGACATTGCGGCCACATCCTGAGGCTCCTGTGTGGGATCGGATTCTTGGACTGTGGGTCCTGGGTCTGAGGCCTTCAGCTCCTGGGTCTCCCAGGGCCCAGGGAGGGTGTGTCCTTCTGAGACGGCCTCTTCACAGAGAGAGAGAGCTGCTTCCACTGCTGCCGCATCCAAGGCTTCCACAGAGTCATCGACCTGGGATGAGGGAGGGAAGGACAGAGACAAGAAGACACAAAAGAATGGGAGAAAAAAAAGGCTAGTATTATGACTATGACAATGATTAAGGAAATGTTTATGTTACATAATTCTGTGCCTACAGGTATTTTACTGCGCTGGGAACACGTCAAACATTTAGATTTTAATGTGTTCTAACATTAAGTACATGGTAAGGCACCTGCAAGTAAATCAGGTGATCATTAAACAAACGACTGATGCCGTAAAGAACAGCAGATTTCTGTCTTTGGTATACAACATCTGGTTCTTAATGTGTTTTGCTTTGCTTGAATTTTTTCAGTCATTAATACATTATTCCTTCACATTCTAGAGTAGTAATATATTTTAGTATAGATACATATATAGAGTATATGTGTATATATATTGTACTGTGTAAACAATGTAGGCAAGTGTGGAAAAAATGCTGTAAGCCAAGAATGCATTCAAAAAGCTAGTTGATTTTGCCTCGATGCTGGTTTGGCTGGTGTTGCACGGCGGCCGGGGGGCGTGCTGGGCATGGGGGATGTCGGCTGGTGCCGGGGGCCTTAGTTTTTTCCGGCGGTTGGGGGGACGGCGGACTTTAATTGGCGGGTGCACGGTGACCTGTGCGGCGCGTTTGCTGCCGGGCTGGGACTTGCTGCTGGTGTTTCTCTCCGCTGGCTTTCGCTGTGGTGTTGTTCCGTTTGCTCTCTCTCGTTTGCCCGACCTCGCACGCGGGACTCGCGGGGGGCTGCTGGGCATTGGGTGTTGCCGTGCTCGCGCATTGTGCGCGTTGGGCTCGTCACTTGTGCATTGGTGTTGATGATTGCGTGGCATTTGGGCATTTTGGTTGTTCGCTACGCGGTGGTGGGGTGCTGGGTGGGGGGGAACACTGGTCTATGTTGTGTGCGCGCCGCGGTCGGTCTGGGCGCTGCTCTTCCGCGGGTTACGCTTTTTGCGTTCCGTCGGCATTACGTTGTCAACTGCCATTTCTGCAATTGGTGTTTCCTACAGCTTTTCCCTGTTGTCCCCACCTTCCATCCCCCTTCTCTTACAGGTCAAAATCGGTGACAAATCAATACATAATTAAATAAATAATAAAACAGACAAAGGAGTATTTTAATACTCTCTTGGTAAAGTAAAATCTGTCTGGCACAATATGGTATCCAGGTCATTATACTCTATACCAGGCTGCTGGGCAGGACAGGTTTAAAAAAAAAAAAAAAGAATGCATTCAAAAATAGGCATGTTAATGTAAATAAATAAAAGAAAAATCTAAATCAAATCAATATTTGGTGTGCCCAAACAACTTGGAGAACTACCCACAGTTCTTCTGTGGGGTCATGCTCTTGGTGTATGAAACAAATGGATGTGCCTTTTGAAAATAAACAAAGTATGTACCTTCTCCTCTATGATGGCAATGATGTCTCCTACTGTCTCCAGATCCAGATCGTCTCCCATGTACGACACGGTAAGGTCCTCTTCTACCAATCCCGTCCCCTCAACGAGCTCTGCCTTCACTGCAGCTTCCACTTCACCCTCTGCAAACATACACCGAAGAATAATTAGTAACCCCCAAGTAAGTAGTAGAAGTAATTATTAGGTCTGAACCCAGCATCATTATCTTCACAGTATATTTACCTGTGATGACCTCATGAGGTGGTAGTGCAGTGGCTGTGGTGACTGTCTGTACTCCATTGGTAAGGCTTCCAGTAGTGTCTCCCTCACCAACCTAACATCAATAAATAAAAGACAAAAGTGATGTTTAATCCACTACAAAAAAAAAAACAACTGACATTAAATTACAACATTGTGGTAAGATCTGCTGCCTTTGAATTACAACCTAGTCCTGCTTGTTGCTTCATATGCTTTTATATTCTTGTAGTTTTAGATGTTATGATCCAAGCTAAGCTGGCTCTCACCACACGAGGGCCGGACGAGATGAGGTTGCTTTTTTTCAGCAGTTCTGACAGGAGAGGTGAGGGTGGCGGTGTGGCCTTCTGGGTTAAGAGCCTCTTTTGTGGTGAATCATCTACTAAAGCGGCCAGGCCTCCATCTTTGGACCCTGGAGCATCCGTCGCTGGTAGAAACACGCCGACCCCCTGGGCCTGGCAGAGGCAGCAAAGAGTCAGTGAGAGTGGCTGGCAGTATGTGAGCTGCAATATTGGATAGCGGTCACCTTATGTGCATGCAGACTTCACTCGGTTAAAAAGTTGGTAGCCTATGACGTTACAAGTCACGGTGGATCTTTTACGAGCACAGACCAGGTAAAGCAGCAGTGAACACATAGGGTGCAGATGTTGGTTTCAGTTGTTTGATAGGCTGCGTCATTAACAAGCAGCTCACCTGCTGCCGTGATAATGGATAGAAAAAAGAAAAAAGAAAAAAGTTCTGTGTCTTTTAAGCAACTTTACAAAACGTATTGCTGATGGAGAAAGTTGAGTAGACGGGGAGGACAGAGAGAGGTGGTTTAACTGAGGCATAGGCCTCTTGTATGTGTATCTGAGTATGGGGAGAAGAGAATTCAGAGGAAGGTGCGAAGCATGCTTAAAATTTATAATGTTCGTGGTGAAAAAACTTGCTTTTACATGGCGGTATTGTGTGAAAGATTTTGATTTTTTGCCCAGGGGCGGGGTTTTACAATCATGATGCCTGCTCAACGTCATGATGTCTGTCAGCTATTGTCGATGGAATCGTCTATCAGCCCAACCCTACTTGTGAAGTACAGTAATGCTGGCCCCACACTAGAGGACAATTGGGCAGATTTTGGGTCCGATTTGACCCTCCCGAAAATCGTGGGGATGTTCCTGATTTGAGGCTGGTTTGAACTGATTATCTGCCCCAAAAAATCTGTAGTGTGAGGGGTTTACAGACACAATCTTAAGGTTACCGACTGGAAATGTTTGGAAGCTTTCCGATTTGAAATGTAAATATTTATATTTAGAAACCAGCAACAGCCATTCAGAGCGAGCTGACCGGGAAGCGTCACCAATGCATTTTGTACTTGTTTGCTCTATAAAATGTATTAACTATGCTGATACATTCTTCTCAGCCATGAGTTCATCCATCCAACATATCATCTTTCTTGTTTTTATGTGCGAAACAAACTACACACAAGCATAACTAGCTGATGACGACAGTCTTCCTCCATGCTTGTTTATTTCTCAAGTCATGTTGGATCGCGCAAGTTTCTGTTAGATCCCGAGTCCCTGGAACAGCCACTGAAATCGTTTATGAAAAAAAAGTGTGTGGTCCTGCATCTTGTGTGTGCGTTTTTATGATGGAAATGCCTTTGCTAGATAAAAGTTATTTATCACATTTTTCTCTCAGCATCTGCAGTATTCTTGTGTTATCTGCAGAGTATATGAAACAAACACGTATCCTCTTACAACTGAGTGGATGATTGTGTCATCAGAGGCAACACCTCCTGTATCCATGGGCGACGTGGGGACCAAAGTGTCAGCTTGAGAGTCTATGGCAGGGGGGCTGGCACCCAGAGGAGAACGTACAGTTACACTGGGCAGACGCTTGGGTGTGTTTTTCACCGCCTGACGAGCTGTGATGGAAAGAAAAGGTCAGAGGGGGAGAGAATGAATCGGTTTGTGAAGTGAACCTTCTTCAAGGAATCTGAAAAAAAAATTGCAGCACAGAAATCACAAGCAAGGTATCTTGTGATAGCATTGTCATTCCAAACAAAGCACACCAGAGAAACAATCCCTTGGCTTAACAAATCATCAAAAAAAATATTCCAAGATGAGGCCAGGGCAAAGCCTTCTAGCACTAACTGGGAAAGGCCTCAATGGAATATAAATGGATAAAAATATTGGCCTATTACATATTCCTTGTTGATAATCTTATTAATGTTATATATAGAATGCTGTTAATTATTAAATTTGTGAGCAATGTGTCTGAATGTTTGCATCAGTGTTTCTTTGTCCTTAATGTCATGAAACCATTCAACAGTAAGGAGTTTTATTTTATATGCTTTTCTTGGCAAAAAAACAGATATTATAAATGTAAAAAACTGTATGTGTAAACACATATCACAGACTATGAAGTTCACGATAAATACCCACATGAACCAAGATATTCAGATTTCCTGTAGACAAATTACATATTTCACAGTGTGCGGACTGAACCTACCCTGGTACGCCGTGTCTGTGGCTTTCCTCTTCTGTTCTGCTTCCTCCTCATCCTGTTTCTTCTTTCTGAGGTTGGAAAATCACAGTTTAAGAATTTGGAAAGAGGGAACACAGGGTGGTACAATCGCATAAAGGAAAGAGGAATCTTGAAAGGCTGAAAGGCTGCAGAACCAACTGGATGAACCCTCTCCATTTCTTTGTGATAATTGTCATTGAGCAATTAACCACTCCAGTGTCGTTGCTCACTGGTATACATACAGAGAGTATGGTTGTGTCCAAAATCCCTGCCTTGTTCACTCATTCGTTACCCTCTGTATAATCGACACTCAATAGTTCACTGTGAGCAGTAAATGAGGATTCTTGACACTAGAATTGTCGTCTAAAAGCTACCAAAGAGTTTTTTAAGGGAAAGAAGTGGAATGTTATGCAATGGCCAAGTCAATCACCTGACCTGAATCTGATTGAGCATGCATTTCACTTGCTGAAGACAAAACTGAAATGAAAATGCCCCAAGAACAAGCAGGAACTGAAGACAGCTGCAGTAGAGGCCTGGCAGAGCATCACCAGGGATGAAACACAGCGTCTGGTGATGTCTATGCATTCCAGACTTCAGGCTGTAATTGACTGCAAAGGATTTGCAACCAAGTATTAAAAAGTGAAAGTTTGATTTATGATTGTTAATCTGTCCCATTACTTTTGGTCCCTTAAAAAGTGGGAGGCACATACAAACTGTTGTAATTCCTACACCGTTCACCTGATTTGGATGTAAACACTCCCAAATTAAAGCTGAAAGTTTGCAGTTAAAGCACATCTCGTTCGTTTCATTTCAAATCCATTGTGGTGGTAAATAGAGCCAAAAAGATTAGAATTGTGTCGATGTCCCAATATTTATGGACCTGACTGTATATTAAATAACAAGTGATTTCATACCCACCCAGCCACAGCCTGTTGACCCTGCCACCTTCTGGGAAGAGATATAGAAGTTTCTGCTGCCACACCACCAGACTGCAGAGCAGCTTTTTTCCCCAAGCTATCAGACCCTGAAATTCATCCTCAGCACTGCTCCAGTGATAATTTAATATTGTTTACCATTTGTATAATTGCTTCTGTATTAATGTTGTCTGCTATGTAGCAGAAGGGAGTTACAAAGCTCCATTTCATTATATAAACTGTTATATTGTGACAATAAATGTACCTACCTAGATGCTTGTGTAGTCCTTACACTTCAAACTCACTGCTAATAACACAGTCTGTCCATGACTTGTGGCTACATACCAAGTTTGTTTATGTAATGTCAGTTGGCGTACATACCAGGTGCACACACACATGTGCTGCGAATGTGGCTAGTTATACAATGAATAAGTGAAAGCATTTACATATTAATTGTATAGTAAGCAAGTAATTGGCATCAAACAAAATAACTGATAGGAGTCTTACAGCGTGATTTCTGCCCACAGCTCCTTCAGCTGTGAGTCCATGTGACCCGTCTGTATCAGATCCACCTCTTTCTTCAACTTCCTGTCAGGACAGAAAGCACAGGAGGGTTAAAGGCCATGTCTCACAATCCTCGAACGGATTACAAGTGGTCTTCTTTTTTTAAGTGTGTGTGTACCTGTACTGCTCTTGTGTGTCTCGCAGTAGTTTTTTGAGTTCCTCTATCCTCTCAGTAGTTAGCCTACGAACGATGACATCTTCAATGGTTTCGACCACCTCACCCTTCTCACCACGCTTACGCCTGCAGCAAAGGAGGGTACAAAGTCAACTCACAAAAGGTTTTACCTGCGATATAAAAAAAACAAAAGAAAGCAACACACAATATTATAATCCCGCACGTAGGTGTATGTCTGTGTTACAATACTGACTTAGGTGCTTCTGTGGCCTCCAGTAGCTCAGAGTATTGTGAGGCACAGTGCTAAGAAACAGAGAGCAAATGTGTTATGGTGAGGCAAATGTTGGTCAACGGCCTGAGAAGTGCTCATCATAGTTTTCTGCTCAAATGACAAATGGAGAAAATATTGTGCAAGTTTGCAGCTTTCTCACCTTCTGTGAGAACCAGTCAGGTGGACGGCCAGGCTCTGAGAAAGGCTTGATGGCTCTACTTACGGACACCCTGGAAGACAAGAGAGAAATTCCTCACAATAAACAGATGTTGAGAAAATGATATGAAGATAAATGCATCGGTAGCTGAAGAAATGCATTCAAATTAGGAATGAATGAAGACAGGTGAAAGAAAAACAAAAATCATGTCATGTAAGCATTGGCACAGTTTTCAGTCTGTTCCTACATTCTTTATTTAGTAATTTTTTTCATTGCTTATTCATTGTTGTTTTATTTTCCATAAATACTGAGGCTGATATTGATCTCGTCTTACAAGCCATGTACTGTTTTATATACAGTCTATGGTACCGCTGAGTGAGATCCTATCAGTCAACATTCAGAAACTATAACTTGCCCAAGTCTGTCCTCTAGTGGTCAAAATGGAGCCCAACACATTTAAAAAGGACCTGCATAACTAGATAATGTATGTGAGCTATAACACTTATTTTTAAAAAGAGAAAACTTTTCAGACTGGCTCTTACATGAAGTAAACCCAGGTGTGTAATGATGGGTTGATGCTCTTTTTTGTTAGAGCTGTAGACAGAAAACTTCATTTTGTTAAAAAAAGGTAACAGATGTTTGGACTGATTTATTTGCAGTAAATAGTTTGTGTAGACAGCATGTTTTTATACACTTTAATTTTATACTTACATACATCATAATTTTTTGTTATATTTTAGCAGCTACTGATATTAAATATCAGCACACAATACTGGCTATCCACAACTTCTATCTGAAGACATTTGGGCTGAAGTACATTGTATTCATCAGTTCAGGTGACTTGTTATGGACAATAGCAGTTTAGCCAATAAGAGGTACTCAAAAAATCAGAGAAGACTAGAGGCAAACACTGAAGCCTTACAGGTAACAGCTTATAATATGGCGTAAGGGACTGTGGTGTAACACTGCTCATGTTCAAAGAACAACAAAAACAGATATAATGGAGATTGTTAGATGCTGGGGTCGATTTTCTACCTCCATTACATGTGTGATACAGCAAAAAACAAAAATCTTAAATGCATGTCTTCTCCTTACTTTACTTCTGAAAGTAATCCATCTGTTCTATGATGTTTCTGTCCCTTTTGTGAATGGCGAAAACAGTTGAGTGAATTGTTAAGAAATGTTAAGTTAAGACTACATTTAGCTGATGCTTTTATCCAAACTCGCTATATATGTTAGAGGTCGCACGCCTCTGGAGCAATTAGTGGTTAAGTGTCTTGCTCACAGACACATGGATGTGTCGCAGAGGGAATCAAACTCTGATCTCCCACATCAAAGGCATGTGTCTTTCTTTACTGTTCCATCGCCATGTTCCTTTATTGATTCCCGTAGGTGACATTCAAATTGGCACAGCAGGACAGAGGAATGTAGTGCAAAGTTAAAAGAAGGACAACAATACAATGTCGGTAACATTAATCAACACAATACAATAAAAAGTAGGTTTTCTTTTTACCAGTTTTGGTCGCCACTCCTCATCACAGAGGAGGCCAGGCATAGTTTCTCCCTGACTGACCAGGGCTCTGTTGGCCCCACATTCAGTATCTTGTGTTCTGTGGAAAAAGTAAAAATAAATTATAACATGTCCAGGTAGCCCATGGCTTTTTACCAGTCAACGGAAATTATTTATTTCAAAGTGTAAACAACTATCAAGTAAGTTAACGTCCGCGCATGATAACATATAACAGTTACATTTGACCCATTTCGCTAAAACACTGAGAAGTCACTGCATTCCGTCATTAAACAATATGCACACAACATACTTACACAAAACACAGAGAAACACAACAAGGTAATGAGTTACAATGTGCTCTGTCAGAGTTGATTAATTTAATTTGAGATTCAACGTTAACTTTTGTCATCCCAGTTTGGCTGTTTGTTTTTCACCGGAGCAATTTGTTTACAGTAACACATAACGTTACTTTATATCTGACGGCCCTGTCCCCACACAACCCAAATATAAACCATACGGTCTGTGATGTATTGATGATGTAAACCATGATTAATATAATAGCCACCCGATGGGTCGCTTTGTTGGTTACATGTAAGGTTTTTATTAGTTACGTTATCAAAGTTGGCTAGCTAGCTACGGTTAGCTAATTGTTGATACAAACTTGCTAGCTTGTATCGTGTTTAGGGTATCCTGCTAAGATTTATTACAGCACTTATTGTTTTCCTTACAAGTATTGGGGCTTGAATATAATTCGAAAAACATATAATACAACAAACACTTAGCATAACTAAATATTTAAATAGTAGCGCTAGCTTAGCAATGTTCATTACGGGGGGACGCATTCATGAGACACACACGGCTTCACGGTGTAACGTTTTATCAAGCAGCGACGACACTGGCTCCAACCAAACTACATTTTCCGCAGTGTTTGGAGTTTGTTTACTGTCACTTTTTGTATGAAATTACAAAGAAAATCAAAACAGAGCTAGGTAATATTACTCACTTCCGATACCGCTCGCCATTTCTTTTGTGACAAGACTGTCAGCACAACTTCCGCCGGACAGGTTGTATTGGTACACACATGGGAACCATGGATGCGAACATACAATCTATGGGAAAATGAATAAAAAAAAACTATAAAGTAAAAACCTATAGAGTCTATGGGAAAAATAAATTAGTAAAAACTATGGTAAAAACCTATAGAGTCTATGGGGAAAATAAATGAGTAAAACCATGGTAAAAACCTATAGAGTCTATGGGAAAAATAAATTAGTAAAAACTATGGTAAAAACCTATAGAGTCTATGGGGAAAATAAATTAGTAAAAACCATGGTAAAAACCTATAGAGTCTATGGGAAAATAAATTAGTAAAAAAAACCTATAGAGTCTATGGGAAAATAAATTAGTAAAAAAAACCTATAGAGTCTATGGGAAAATAAATTAGTAAAAACCATGGTAAAAACCTATAGAGTCTATGGGAAAATAAATTAGTAAAAAAACCTATAGAGTCTATGGGAAAATAAATTAGTAAAAAAAACCTATAGAGTCTATGGGAAAATAAATTAGTAAAAACCATGGTACAAACCTATAGAGTCTATGGGAAAATAAGTTATTAAAAAAACCTATAGAGTCTAGGGGAAAAATAAATTAGTAAAAAAACCTATAGAGTCTATGGGAAAATAAGTTAGTAAAAACCATGGTTAAAACTTATCTATGGGAAAATAAGTTAGTAAAAAAACCTATAGAGTCTATGGGAAAAATAAATTAGTAAAAACTATGGTAAAACCTATAGAGTCTATGGGAAAAATAAATTAGTAAAAACTATGGTAAAAACCTATAGAGTCTATGGGAAAATAAGTTAGTAAAAAAACCTATAGAGTCTAGGGGAAAAATAAATTAGTAAAAAAACCCTATAGAGTCTATAGGAAAAATAAATTAGTAAAAAACCTATAGTCTATGGGAAAATAAGTTAGTAAAAACCATGGTAAAAACCTATAGAGTCCATGGGAAAATAAGTTAGTAAAAACCATGGTAAAAACTTATAGAGTCTATGGGAAAATAAGTTAGTAAAAACCATGGTAAAAACCTATAGAGTCTATGGGAAAATAAGTTAGTAAAAACCATGGTAAAAACTTATAGAGTCTATGGGAAAATAAGTTAGTAAAAACCATGGTAAAAACCTATAGAGTCTATGGGAAAATAAGTTAGTAAAAACCATGGTAAAAACTTATAGAGTCTATGGGAAAATAAGTTAGTAAAAACCATGGTAAAAACTTATAGAGTCTATGGGAAAATAAGTTAGTAAAAACCATGGTAAAAACTTATAGAGTCTATGGGAAAATAAGTTAGTAAAAACTATGGTAAAAACTTATAGAGTCTATGGGAAAATAAGTTAGTAAAAACCATGGTAAAAACCTATAGAGTCTATGGGAAAATAAGTTAGTAAAAACCATGGTAAAAACTTATAGAGTCTATGGGAAAATAAGTTAGTAAAAACCATGGTAAAAACCTATAGAGTCTATGGGAAAATAAGTTAGTAAAAACCATGGTAAAAACTTATAGAGTCTATGGGAAAATAAGTTAGTAAAAACCATGGTAAAAACCTATAGAGTCTATGGGAAAATAAGTTAGTAAAAACTATGGTAAAAACTTATCTATAGGGAAATAAGTTAGTAAAAACCATGGTAAAAACCTATAGAGTCTATGGGAAAATAAGTTAGTAAAAACCATGGTAAAAACTTATAGAGTCTATGGGAAAATAAGTTAGTAAAAACCATGGTAAAAACTTATCTATAGGGAAATAAGTTAGTAAAAACCATGGTAAAAACCTATAGAGTCTATGGGAAAATAAGTTAGTAAAAACCATGGTAAAAACCTATAGAGTCTATGGGAAAATAAGTTATTAAAAACCATGGTAAAAACTTATCTATAGGGAAATAAGTTAGTAAAAACCATGGTAAAAACCTATAGAGTCTATGGGAAAATAAGTTAGTAAAAACCATGGTAAAAACTTATCTATAGGGAAATAAGTTAGTAAAAACCATGGTAAAAACCTATAGAGTCTATGGGAAAATAAGTTAGTAAAAACCATGGTAAAAACCTATAGAGTCTATGGGAAAATAAGTTATTAAAAACCATGGTAAAAACTTATCTATAGGGAAATAAGTTAGTAAAAACCATGGTAAAAACTTATAGAGTCTATGGGAAAATAAGTTAGTAAAAACCATGGTAAAAACCTATAGAGTCTATGGGAAAATAAGTTAGTAAAAACCATGGTAAAAACCTATAGAGTCTATGGGAAAATAAATTAGTAAAAACCATGGTAAAAACTTATAGAGTCTATGGGAAAATAAGTTAGTAAAAACCATGGTAAAAACTTATAGAGTCTATGGGAAAATAAGTTAGTAAAAACCATGGTAAAACCTATAGAGTCTATGGGAAAATAAGTTAGTAAAAACTATGGTAAAAACCTATAGAGTCTATGGGAAAATAAGTTAGTAAAAACTATGGTAAAAACTTATCTATAGGGAAATAAGTTAGTAAAAACCATGGTAAAAACCTATAGAGTCTATGGGAAAATAAGTTAGTAAAAACCATGGTAAAAACTTATAGAGTCTATGGGAAAATAAGTTAGTAAAAACCATGGTAAAAACTTATAGAGTCTATGGGAAAATAAGTTAGTAAAAACCATGGTAAAAACTTATAGAGTCTATGGGAAAATAAGTTAGTAAAAACCATGGTAAAAACCTATAGAGTCTATGGGAAAATAAGTTATTAAAAACCATGGTAAAAACTTATAGAGTCTATGGGAAAATAAGTTAGTAAAAACCATGGTAAAAACCTATAGAGTCTATGGGAAAATAAGTTAGTAAAAACCATGGTAAAAACTTATCTATAGGGAAATAAGTTAGTAAAAACCATGGTAAAAACCTATAGAGTCTATGGGAAAATAAGTTAGTAAAAACCATGGTAAAAACCTATAGAGTCTATGGGAAAATAAGTTAGTAAAAACCATGGTAAAAACTTATAGAGTCTATGGGAAAATAAGTTAGTAAAAACCATGGTAAAAACTTATCTATAGGGAAATAAGTTAGTAAAAACCATGGTAAAAACCTATAGAGTCTATGGGAAAATAAGTTAGTAAAAACCATGGTAAAAACTTATCTATAGGGAAATAAGTTAGTAAAAACCATGGTAAAAACCTATAGAGTCTATGGGAAAATAAGTTAGTAAAAACCATGGTAAAAACCTATAGAGTCTATGGGAAAATAAATTAGTAAAAACCATGGTAAAAACTTATAGAGTCTATGGGAAAATAAGTTAGTAAAAACCATGGTAAAAACTTATAGAGTCTATGGGAAAATAAGTTAGTAAAAACCATGGTAAAAACTTATAGAGTCTATGGGAAAATAAGTTAGTAAAAACCATGGTAAAAACTTATAGAGTCTATGGGAAAATAAGTTAGTAAAAACCATGGTAAAAACCTATAGAGTCTATGGGAAAATAAGTTAGTAAAAACCATGGTAAAAACCTATAGAGTCTATGGGAAAATAAGTTAGTAAAAACCATGGTAAAAACCTATAGAGTCTATGGGAAAATAAGTTAGTAAAAAAACCTATAGAGTCTATGGGAAAATAAGTTAGTAAAAAAACCTATAGAGTCTATTGGGGGAATAAGTTAATAAAAACCTGTAACAGTAAATAGGGAAAAGAAGTTAATAAAAACAAACCTCTACACACTGCATTAAACTGAATGTGTATTTGGTCCTGGGTACAGTCCATGGACTGTATGTAAAAATAGCCTAATGGTATAGCAAATGCTAGAAATTGCTGCTTAACTCTTCTATAGTGTCTGCTGTGTCTTCCCTCAGAGATGGGAGTGGAAGTAAAAACACCAACACTGTCCAAATCAGAAATGTAACAAGTAGATGCTTATCGTCACAATAAGTGAACATCCTAAATTGTGTTTGGATCAGCTGTAGTCTGTATTTTAGAAATAGGCAACTAGGTTCATCATGAGTGGAAATTAGAAGTATTTCTGAATCAGATTTTTTTATTCAGTTCTTGTTTGTGTCAGTTAAAAACACACATTTCCACACATGCCAGGCTGAAAAGCAGTGTTTCACTGCCCTCACTGGTTGAAAGTAGCATCACGGATGTGTGCTCAGTTGCACCTTTAACCACACACAGCAGTGGTGTCACCTTCTACTGACAAACTTTAGAGTACCTTTATATATCACTGCACCAAAGTTAACTCACTGAAGGTCAGCCAAGACAAGTGTTTTTTTTAGGATTGAGGGGAAAAGTGTGGCACTGTTTGTGGACTACTAAACAGATTGGGCTCCAAATGGAGCTCCTTAGGTAATTGCGGATTTCAAAGTGGGCACCGAGTGAGCACCAGTGAACCTACCAGGAGCGTGTATAAATGTTTATGACTCTATAAGTGTGGGTATTGGAAGAGTGCCAGCGACACCCCATTAGCCTTGGTCACATCACCTTATAAGGATGAACTGATGTGTTTTGATGTGTAAGCTGAAATATGTTTTCTCACACTGCTCTGTAGCGTTCCATAGCTCTCCATTTATGACGTTCGATGTCATCTAGATAATTGTGTGGTCATTTTCATGCCCTGAATTTGCTGCTTTAAAATTGAATCATATACCATGATTCAACATGTAATTGGCTAACTGGAATTCCATGTGTCAAGATCACCATTTTTATTTGTGTGACACACAAGTTTAGCTTTAAAAAATAATCTTACTGGCTCACAGCAAGTTGCTTTATCTTTATATACTGATAATATTTAGACATTTTCATGACATTTAGATGTGTACAAATGATAAAGCTGGTCATTTCCTACCTGGATTCAGATTATGTGCAGTAGGTGCAGTCTGCTTGTGCTATAGTGAGTCACCACTTACTTGCTGTTAAGAATCCAAATCCTCCTGTGACAAAGCTTAAACATTTTAGCAGTTACATGCCAGTCCTGATAAATCATGAAGGGAAAAAAAAGTAGTAAACAAAGTGTGACATGTAATTTTTGAGTGTTGATAAAATAAGACGATTCACAA